TCTTTCCATAGCACTAAATGCACCAAGTGCAATGTCGTCTTCATAGAATTCCCTAAATCGATTACCAAAGGAAATTGAAAGAACATCGACACCATCTTCAATAGCCATATCTATTGCAGATAAAACGTTGCTCCCATAGCAACTGATATCATCACACGCTTTGTAGATGGCAACATGAGCAAGAGGTGCAACACCCACAGCTGTGCCATTAGCATTGCCAAAAATGTTTGCACCTGCAACGAAACGTCCAGCAGCCGTGCTAGCAGTATGTGTACCATGTCCATCTTCGTCCCATGGATCATTCCCTGTGTAGCGGAAGTACCTCGCACCAATGAGCTTGTTGTTACACTTAGTGGTATTAAATTGACATATACCCTTCCATTTAGTAGGGGGAGGTGGCATCCCATCATCGCTAAACCAAGGGTGGTCCGGGAAAATTCCTGTGTCAATAACTCCAATGATCACACCTTTCCCATAATTCGAGTCATTCCAGAACCCCATGTTCTGGTTCAACCCCATGAAATTTACACTATGTGTGGTGTATAAATCAAGTATCCCCTCGGGGCGTGCAGAGACAAATCCTTCCATTTTCTCCATTTCCTTTAAATCTTCTAGTGATAACTTAGCTGCAAAACCTGTTATAACATTTCGATAGGAATATATCAATCGTGGTGCTTCACGAGAACTATCTGAGGTTGTTGCAGGCAAGAAAGAAAGATAATAGCTTTCCAAATCTTGATTTCTGGTAGTCCTTTCCCCATCAGGGAACTCACAATGAACAATATAGATTTGTGAATTGTTCTGTTTTGTTGCATTAGTGGTAAATGGAAAGAGCACACAAATCAGCCCAATTATAGTAAGAATTAACCTGTATTGAGGCATGATAAATTTAGTACTAGTGAAAGCGCTGTTATTTGGTGAGTGTTTTTGAACTTTGATTGAGGGTATTTATACTAATTGGAAGTATAGTTTTTTATTTGCAAGTCAGAAGCTAGTTTAGAAATGTGAAATAGTCATGCCTGGAGATACACGCTAAAATGATTTTATTCTATTTAACATCTATGTGATAATGAACTAGGCATAGCAACATCATACATATGAAGTCATCAATCTACAATATACTTTTTAGGTATTGTTCCAGTCAACTTGGACGCGCCTTAACTAATACACTTGTTCACCTCTCAAGTACATGGTACCAAAGTAACTGTGCTCATAATGGCTGGAGCAGACAGATTCACACAACTAGTGTCGTAGCTGAATTTTTAACCTGAAATTTCCAGATGGTTACTCCGATGGCTCGATCATTAGGCCATCTACTTGGGAACCAAAATATGTCTAGAAGTATACCTAAACTTGAGTTCTGAAAACAAGTAATTGTCAATAAAGTGGATAGAGAACAATGAGGTTTCAGGTTTAAATCTCAATGAAGGCGGAAGAAAATTAATAAAACAAGCATCCCTCTTGACTAATGGTGAGATTATGAAAGAGAACTTTAATAATGTTGCAAGCGTGCACCTCCCTCCAAATAGGCCTATTGTTAATTACTTCTATAATATAAATATGCTAACTTATAAGTTTTGAGATTTGTCAATATTGACAAAATCAAGCATTACCACTTAATTTGACATTTTGTTTTGAATTAGTTTCATGTTTTTTTTCTTTTCATAATAAACTAAGTACATTTCCAAGAAAAAACCAAGCATGACAACACCAGTGGATGCAGTCTTAGTAGCACATTAGATTTTAAATCATAATTTAAAAAGTTTAATGGATTCAATGTTAAGAGCTCTAAAGATCAAATTTCATTTAGTTAAAATTTTGGATTCGCATTTTGATGACAATATCATCTATATCTAGTGTACATTATTTATATTCTCGAAAAGTCATAACCTCATCTTCAACCGGATAACATGTTTTTTTTTTAAAAATAATTTATTAAAGTAAACTATAAATGTACTAATTATGAAAAAGAGACCTCACACTTGATGACCTCTTCAAGATAGGATATCAAGATGAATATACTTCCATATTACTTGTAAAACTTCATGGACTATCTTGAATTTTGAAATGTTCAATTATTCGATTTTTCTCTTTAAACAATTTTTTTTTCTTTGAAACACACTACAAGTTGCAGGTGCAGTCCTTTGCAGGCTTCATGCTGAGCTCCATACTAAGGAACATAACCAAAAAGTTATGGTTGCACCACCTTCTACATTGCACAAATTATTGAACTTGAGGGGAAAAGAAGTGTCTAACATGTAAAAATATGCTTTAACAATTTAGTGTACATTGTTGAAATGTGTGACTGTCTCATCTGAAAGCTTAAGTTGTTAGAGAGAGTACACTTATATTATTTAATTGTATTCTCAACATGCCCCTCACGTTAGGGCCTTATATTTTCATGGGCCAAGCAAATGGAAATTTTCTTTTTGATATGGGTCGGTGAGATTCGATCTCGAACATCTGCCTGCTCTGATACCATGTTAAAATGTGTGACGATCACATCTAAAAGCTTAAGTGTTAGAGAGAGTACACTTATTTTATTTAATTGTATTCTCAACATACATATATTGTTTTTTCTTGTGTTCGTAAAAGAAAAAAAGATGGTGCTTCTAAGTGGATTATGTGATGGGGAATTTAGGAAAATGTTATCCGTACTAAAAGTAGGGAAGTCATTTTCCTTGTTTTGAGAGAAGGTTGGTTAATAAATGAGTAATTCATTAAGATTTTGTACTTGAGTAAATTAACTTGAATTGATTAGATGAATGTAGACATTTTTAGAGTTAATACGACAATAAGCAGTGTTTGAAGATGAAAGCAACTCCAAAACATTGAATAGATATAGTACTAAAGGAAATGAGATCTAAGCCTAAGTGTCCGATATCATGTCATCCGTTTATCATGAGTTGATTCATTTGTATTTATTAGAATGTATATTGAACATGGTTTTATTGCAAAAGAAAAATCTCGATGAGTGTGTCACTGAGATCAGATTCTTCATTTATTTCTTCAAAAAAGGAAAAATCGAACAGCAATTGGGCTCCTAACAATGTGTTTTTCAGAAATCCATCTGAGAGATCCCTGATTAAAAGTAGTGTTCGGTATGGTATCCAGAGGTGTAAATGTCACTTGATAGCTCAATGCTTGTTTCACCTCTGAAAAAACAAGTGTAGTTGGTTCAACTTTCACATCAAGACCTGGCGGTGAATCAATTTCAACTCTGTATGTTGAGTTGGCTTGTCCAACATTCATCACAGTTCTTGAATATACTTGAGCTGCTGAGTTGACTCTGACTTGGATCGAAAACGATGGATAATTTAGTTGACCATCTGAGATGCTAGTAACCTCTGAACAATTCACTTTGCCCGGAAAAAAGAATCCAACTTGTGTGTCTGTGTAATTTAGACCACATAAATAAGGTAAGTAAACGGCTGGCTCTATGTCATATATCAGGCCTGGATCATTTGCTTTTGACGGATTAACATGGCCTGCACCAGTGGCAAAAACATTGGCCGGACGGTATGTTTCATCCTCGATTAAGTTGGATCCGAGGTTTAAGACATCGGCTGTTGTCATAATTGCTGACTTAATTGCAGCTGGAGACCAATCAGGGTGAACACTTTTTAGTAGTGCTGCAACGCCACTGAGGTGAGGACAAGACATTGAGGTGCCTGAGATCATGTTGAATCTCGAGTTGGTGTTTGTGTTGTTATCCAAGGAAATATGCCAAGCTGCTAGAATGTTAACGCCAGGACCAATAATGTCTGGTTTTAGAATTCCAGGACTTGCATAACTTGGACCCCTGGATGAAAATCCAGCAACCACTGGAGCACGATCATCTCCGATTATAGTTCCCTTGAACACAATTGTGGCTGTAGGGGTTGGTGTTGAGTCTATGTACTCTTTGATTTTTAGACCATCAGCATAGCCAACATATGTCGTTGGGAGGACATATGCCTCGACCAATGTTGTGTTAGCCATGGCTTCTCGGTTCATAAATATCATGGCAGCACCACCAGCTGCCTTCACTGCTATACCTTTATCAGCTCGCGTTATTTTACCAGCCTCACACAACACAATCTTTCCCATGACATTCGTGTTGTTCAGGGAAGCAGGGGTACAATATTTAGCATCAGAATCACTAGAATTGCTTCCAGGATAGGCAAGAGGCAATAGTGTAGGAGGAAAGTCATTAGGTTGCAAAGCTGATTCTCCGTCGAATTCTTGATTGTTACCAAGCACAACAGTGGCCTTTATTTTTCTGTCGATAGTGCTTGCACCAACTGTGAGAACCCAGGGCGCTTCATTAGACAATGAAAAACTGTATGGTCCTGAATTTCCACCAGAACAGCTGACGAAGATTCCCTTTTTGATAGCACTAAGTGCACCAAGTGCAATTGGGTTTCTATGGAAAGCATTAGATAGACTACCAAGGGAAATTGAAAGAATATCCACACCATCTTCAATAGCCATATCCATTGCAGCCAAAATGTCGCTCCCAAAACAACCGAAAGCAGAGCACGCTTTGTAAACGGCAACATGAGCAAGAGGTGCAACACCCACAGCTGTGCCATTTGCATTGCCAAAAATGTTAGCACCTGGAACGAAACTTCCAGCAGCCGTGCTAGCAGTATGTGTACCATGTCCATTTTCATCCCATGGATCAATCCCCGAGTTCGGGAAGAATCTGGCTCCAATGAGCTTGTTGTTACACTTTGTGACATTAAATTCACACTTACCCTTCCATTTAGCAGGGGGAGGTGGCATCCCATCATCGCTAAACGAAGGGTGGTCCGGGAAAATTCCCCCGTCAATAACTCCAATAATCACACCTTTCCCATAATTCGAGTCATTCCAGAACCCCATGTTCTGTTGCAACCCCATGAAATTGACACTATGTGTGGTGTGTAAATTAAGTATCTCGTCGGGGCGTGCAGAAACAAATCCTTCCATTTTCTCCATTTCCTTAATATCCTCTGGTGATAACTTAGCTGCAAAACCTGTTAGGACATTTCGATAGGAATATATCAAACGTGGTGCCTCACGAGAACTATCTGAGGTTGTTGCAGGCAAGAAAGAAAGATACCAGCTTTCTAAATCTTGATATCTGGTTGACATTTCCCCATCAGGGAACTGACAATGAACAATATAGATTTGTGAATTGTTCTGTTTTGTTGCATTAGTGGTAAATGAAAAGAGCACACAAATCAGCACAATTATAATGAGAATTGAACTGTATTGAGCCATCATAACTTTAGTACTAGTGAAAGAGCTGTTATTTTGTGAGTGTTTTTCGAATTTTGATTGAGGGAATATATACTTATTGGAAGTATATTTTTTTATTTGCAAGTCAGAAGCTAGTTTTAGAAATGTGAAATAGTCATATCTGGAGATTCTTGGATTTAATAGAAAATAGAAAGTAAATTGGTCATCTGTACGCTAAAACGATTTTATTCTAATTAACTTCTATTTGCTAATGAAGTTGGCATAGCAACATCACATAGATGAAGTCATTAATCGACAATATACTTAAGTAATGTTCGAGTCAACTTGAACACACCTTAACTGAGCTGACTAGTTCACCTCACAAGTACTCCCTCTGTCCCAAAATAGGTGTTATCTTAGGAAATCCAAAACAAAAATTAGTATGACTTTTTAACTATACCTTTATATTCCATTTTCTTTTTAGTGTTCAATTTACAAGAGACGTTCATAAAATAAGGGTAGTTTACTAAACTACAGATTGTGTGTATTGATATCTTAATGAACGTGACCGTGTGCAGCCTGAACATTGATGAGATGGAGTTGACTAAATCTCAATTGCCACATGCTACCTTCTGATACAATGCCACAATCGGATTTTGACCTAGTATCCTATGGAATTAGTTGAGGTGCGACAAGTTAACCAAAACACCACAAATATAAATTAAAAAGAAAGTACTATGTTACTTAACAATAATGTCATTAGCTTAATTTTCCCCCAAATTTGAAAAATACATGTACATTCCCCTATATAATCCCTCTAAACTAATGCTGAGATTGTGAAAGGGAATTACAATAAAGTTTAAAGAATCCCAACTGGCCTGATGTTAATTACTTCTATTATAAAATATGATAACTTCTAAGTTTTATAAGTTTTGAGCTTTGTCAATATTGACAAAATCAAGCATTAACACTTAATCTGACCTTTTGTTTTTAATGAGAAAAAAACATGTGTGGTGCCTCCTTAACCCCAGATCGTTGAATCCTTGAACTAGTTTCATGCTTGTCAAAATTAACCCTTGAACTATGCAAAATAGATTATTTATACACTCCGTTACATTTTGAGATAAAAAAAATCTCTCCACCATTATCTCAAGAGACTACAAATATCCTCTTGAGGTAACAATCCAAATTTTTAGTGACGTGAGACTAATCCCTCCACCTAACCGTGGCCAACTAGGATCATTACAAGAAATTAGTTCTTTAGCGTCGACAAAGTCGCCACAAATATCCAAAATATCGCCACTAAAGATTTTCAGTGATTATGTGAAAACCAAAAGTCGCCGCTAAAGGTCTAGTTTCTTGTAGTGAATCTTAATTGACAAAGCTTAATTAAGGGGAGGAATTACTTCCACGTGGCTTGCCATATGTCAGGGACAATTTTGACCCTTTTCCGAAATTTAAATAAACATTATATTATAAATCATAATTTTAAAAGGGTAATGAATTCAATGTTAAAGAACTCTAAAATTTGAATTCATTAAGTTAAATTTTTGGATTCACGTTTGGGTGACAGTATCATCTATCTAGTGTACATTATTCATATTCTCAAAAAGTGACAACCTCATCTGCAACTATAAATTTACAAAGCATGAGAAAGAGACCTTACACCAGACCTCTTCAAATAGGATAATCAAGATGAAGACACTTCCAAATTATTTTTAAAATCGCTATATGCATCATTCTTTTTCACTAATTTATTGAATACTTAATAATTTTAGTGTCCCCTGAGAATATTCACAATTAGAGGGTTGAAGAAACATAATTATGTCATATCACACTATTATAATGTTCTAAATTTACAATTGAAATTTCAGGACGAATTTTACGAATGAAATTTGAAAGTTGGTGACAATAGCTATTTTTCTTGGGAATGGTATCAGGTTTTCTCAACTCTTATGCTTGCTTTGTAAACAGCATATATGATTGGATATAACAGGCATTTTTGAACTCTCTTCTTAAAAAAATGAAATATATAAAAAGTAAAAGAAACGATCAATGAAAAACTGACATTTATCAAAGAGGATATATGCTTTTATATTCTTCAATCAGATGTGAACAAACAGCGAAACACTTTATTAATAATGAAAAAGTAACATAAAGTATACAGTAAAAACAATAAACTGTTTGAGTACTTTATGCACTCATAGCAAAAAAAATTTCACTAGACCAACACAACTGCAATTGGACTTCTCACAGAGTGCCTAGTAGAAGTCCATTTCAAGAATCCCTCAACAAGCACAACTTCTGAACTGCTGGTTGTCTTGGAAAATGTCACTTGGTATGTTAACTTCTGGTTCAACTCGGAGAAATTTAGCTCTGTGGGTACAACTTCTACGGCAACTCCTATAGGTGAAGCTATCTCTACTTTGTAAGATGATGCAACATCACCAACGTTGGTCACAGTTCTTGTATATGTCTGAGGAGTTGATCCAAGTCCAAATATGGAAAACGAAGGATAGTTTAATTGTGCTTCAGGGATACTTTTCACTTCCAAGCAATTCACCGTGCGTCGTAACAGGCTACCTACCTGTGCATCTGTGTATCCCAAACCACATAAATAAGGTAAATAGTCCTCGGAGGGGGTATCATAAACTAGTCCTGGATCATTTGCCCTTGATGGATTAACGTGTCCTGCACCAATTGCAAAGATGTCTGCAGGAAGTAACCTTTCATCTAGTATTGGACTACTGTCAAGGTTTAACGTGTCAGCGGTTGTCATGATTGCAGACTTAATAGCAGCAGGAGACCAATCAGGATGTGTGCTCTTCAGCAGAGCTGCTACGCCACTGAGGTGAGGGCAAGACATCGAGGTGCCTGATATAATATTGAATGTGGATTTGGTGTTTTTGTTGTCATCCACGGAGGTAGGCCAAGCAGCAAGGATATTAACACCAGGACCAATTATGTCAGGCTTCAAGATCCCAGGATTAGGTTTACTTGGTCCGCGAGAAGAAAATGCAGCAACTATGGGAGCATTTTTATCTCCAATTATTGTTCCTTGCATAGTGATTGTAGCAATAGGGTTTGATATTGAGTTTGTATAATCAAGAATTTTGATTCCATCTGCAGCTGAAACAACCAATGCTGGAAGAACATGAGCATCAGCTGATTTTGTGACACCATAATATGCCGGGTTGATGACAATCATGGCAACACCTCCAGCATCCTTCACAGCTTGTCCTTTTTCAATATTTGAAGCTACACCTGCCGAACATATGACAATCTTTCCTTTTATTGCAGGGTCAGTGAGAGACCCTGGTTTGCAATAAGGGGTTTCAGATGGATCACCTATACTCTTTGCAGCATCATATAGAGTGAAGTATGTTGAGTCGGAAATCTGTGGACGATAAGCAGATTCCCCTTCAAATTCCTCTTTATTTCCAAGTGTAACAGTAGCTTTTATCTTTCTATCAATAGTGCTGGCGCCTACCGTAAGAATCCAAGGGGCTGTGTTTCCTGCTGAGAAACTGGATGAACCACTATTTCCAGCAGAGCAACTTACAAGAATCCCTCTTTCTGTTGCACCGTACGCCCCGAAAGCAATACTGTCTTCATAGAAAGGAACTGGACTTCCACCAAGGGACATTGAAAGAATATCTACTCCATCATCTATAGCTGAATCCATGGCAGCTAAAATATCACTGTCAGAACAACCATCAGAATTACACACCTTATATATGGCTAGGTGGGCAAGAGGGGCAACACCAACAGCAGTCCCATTAGCATTCCCAAATACATTAGCACCTTCTACAAAGGCTCCTGCAGTTGTGCTTGCTGTGTGTGTACCATGTCCATCATTATCTATTGGGGAACCATTGGCAAGTTGGTAAGACCTCGCTCCAATGAGCTTGTTGTTACACTTGGTCGCGAAATCGGACTCGCAAACTCCTTTCCATTTAGCAGGGATAGGTGGCATCCCGACATCGCTAAATGAGGGGTGGTCTGGGAAAATTCCCGAGTCAATAACTCCAATAATCACACCTTTCCCATAATTCGAGTCTTTCCAGAACCCCATGTTCTGTTGCAACCCCATGAAATTGACACTATGTGTGGTGTGTAATTTAAGTAGCTGCTGGGGGCGTGCAGAAACAAATCCTTCCATTTTTTCCATTTCCTTTATATCTTCTGGTGATAACTTAGCTGCAAAGCCCGTTAGGACATTTCGATAGGAATATATCAAACGTGGTGCCTCACGAGAACTATCGGAGGTTGTTGCAGGCAAGAAAGAAAGATACCAGCTTTCTAAATCTTGGTATTTGGCAGTTCTTTCCCCACCAGGGAACTCACAATGAACAATATAGATTTGTGAATTGTTCTGTTTTGTTGCATTAGTTGTAAATGAAAAGAGCACACAAATCAGCCCAATTATAGTAAGAATTGAACTGTATTGAGCCATCATAACTTTAGTACTAAAGAAAGAGATATTATTTGGTGGTGTGCTTTTTGAATTTTGATTGTGGGTATATATACACATTGGTAGTATATTTTTTATTTGCAAGTCAGAAGTTAGTTTTAGAAATGTGAAATAGTCACATCTGGAGATTCTTGGATTAAATAGAAAATAGATAGTGAAATGGTCATCTATACGCTAAAACGATTTTATTCTAATTAACTTCTATTTGCTAATGAAGTTGGCAAAGCAACATCATATAGATGAGGTCATCAATCTACAATATACTTTTTAAGTAATGTTCGAGTCAACTTGAACACGCCTTAACTAATACATGAGGTGTCTTGTTCATCTCACAAGTACTCACTCCGTCCCAAAATAAGTGTGATGTTAGGAATTCAAGACAAAATAGTATGG